TCTATCTTCCGCCCATTTTCTATCAGGTCCTTAAGCCCCCACTGATTTTTTAGAGCATTCCTTCTAATGTCATCATGTCTCGTTCCAACTATAATTTGGTCGCGTACCATGATATCTGGGATGTCGCAGCCTTCATTGCTGCAGCTGAATTTGCAAGATCGAGCTTCATGCTGCAAACGATGGACAAAGTTATTGAAGCTCTCGTCCTGATCTTGATTTAAGCGATGAAACTCATGATTGGCCAAGGTATAGTTGCGAGTGGGCTCATATCTGGCCTTCATTCTTGCAATGAGGTTTGCGAATGTGAGAAGCGAGCGATCAGTCTCTGCGACAGTGTCTTCAAAGTCTTTTTGAAAGTTGCGAGATGCGAATCGGCCAAGAAATATTTTTCTTTTGTTGATCTGGACCCATGCAATTGTGTCCTCCGTGCCTTGAGGGGGATCCCTCGCAATAGCCTCATATTCATAATGAAACTGGTTGACAAAGTCACAGAATGCGTCATGCACATTCGTGGTGTGCATCTCTGGGTCAAACTTTCCGATTGACCTGGATGGTGATTCAAATTGTTCAGTAGCCATTGTTCCAATTCAAAACTACAGTCAGGATTATCTGTTGTGATGTCTGAGATGGGTTACTATAGTGTCTGTTCCTCCGTTTCACCTCGTCGCCATTAATAAGTTCAGGGCTGTGCTTGCTTGATTGCTTCCTGACAGATAGCCTGGCTTGACTAAGAACAGACCAACAGATGTAGAATTGAGCTTTTATTATCAGTAACAAAGAATATAATCCTAACTGCAGTAAACTACTGTTTTATCTGTAATTTACAGGTTAATAGTTAAAGCAGATTGTTCAGTGCACAAGGCTAGTCTAGTACCAGAGTACCGGCAGACAGGAAGCTCATTGCCATGTACAGGTGGAGGGGTGCAAAGGTCAAGGCATGGCACAAGTGCCATAATGTTGTGTTACTGAAAGGATACATGTTGGAAAAGAAGATTGAAATGAAATTATGTGTTACTGTACATATAAAATAATATTAAAACACTGTACACAATATTAGCACAATAAAGCACTTTACAGTACACTGAGTCACACTGTATTTTAGGGTGATAGTGAATCTTTTGGGACATATCACAAGATATCACAATATTTGTTAATGAAATAACTAGCTCTCTGGCTCCATGGCCTATTCTCTTGATTGAGTAATTTAAATATCCATTTGATCTGAATGGCCTTTAATTGACTTCTGAGGTCCATCATATTTAGACCACCAGATGTAAAGCTACCAGATACAATTTGTCTACCCACTAACTGGGGTTTATTGTGCCAAATGAATTTCCAAATGATGGATTCTAATTTTTTAATAAATGTTTCAGGCATAATTTCATAGTTAGCAATGTGCCACACTTTGGATAACATTAACGCTTTCACTATTAGACATTTTCCTATCATAGTTAAATTCCTACCCTGCCACAAATTTATTACACTTTGTATAGAATTAGTTATTTTTATCCAGTTTTTATCTCGTGATATGATACTATTTCCTATGAATGTTCCTAAAATTTTTAGTTCCTGTGTGATTTGGATACCTTTATATGTGGATCCTATATTCCAATGTTTAGCTGACCCGCACAACATGATATTACACTTAGAAATGTTTATTTTCAACCCTGTAGCTTTTTCAAAAATTTTCATCAAATCCAATACTGCATCTAATGATCTTAAATTTTCTACTGTTACTATGGTGTCGTCAGCAAATCCCTTATATACTTCCCTTGTTCCTGTGCAATTTTTAAAACCTTCAATTCTACTATTACATCTGATATTGCAGGCTAATAGTTCAGCCATTATTAAATATAATAGAGGCGCAAGTGGACAACCTTGTCTAACTCCACGCTCTACATAAAATTCCTTTGACATGAAACCATTTGTTATAATTTTTGCCCTTGTGTTATTAAGAAGAGTATAAACCCATTTTATGAAAAAGTTTCCAAAATTTAGTTTTTTTAATAATTTGAATAACAAAGATCGGTCAACAGTATCATATGCTTTTTCTTGGTCAATAGTAAATATTATTAAAGGTTGATTTTGTTTGTTTGCCCAAAAAATATCGTCCCTAATAGTTAACAAGTTTTCATGAATTACCCTTCCTTCAATAAAGCCAGTTTGATCACTATTAATTATATGGGGTAACACTTTTTTCATTCTTATGGCCAGAATTTTCGCAATTAGTTTATATTCAAAATTTAGTAATGTGATTGGTCTCCAATTTTTCAAATCATTCTTGTCATCTTTTTTATATATTAAAGTAATTAGGCCTAGATTTGTGTTGTGTGACAACATCAACTGTTTATGGTAGCTATTGTATAGCAATAATAAAATTGGGCGCAAATATTTCGAAAACTTTACATAAAATTCACACGTGAGACCATCCAAGCCAGGGGACTTATTCTGTTTCATTAATTTCAAAGCACTGTCTATTTCTTCTCCTGTTAATTTACTATCTAAATCTAGTTTCTGATTATTCGATAATCGTTGGTGGAAATTATTTATGAGTGTATCTTGGCAATCTATGTCTAAATTTTCATTTTTTTCATAAAGCTTAGTATAATATTTGACTTGTTCGTTTTGAATTTCAGCACAAGAAAAAACCAAATTACCATCAGATTTTTTAATGATTTAAAAATTTTTGTTCTACCTCTAGATTTTTCTAGATTCAGAAAATACTTGCTGGATTTTTCCCCTTCTTCTGCCCATTTAATTCTGGCTCTGATCATGGCACCTTTTGCTTTTTGTTTGTAATATTCTTTAATTTCCTGTTCTGTATTTTCTAGAGTTTCTAAAGTTTCCTCATCCTCTATATTATTTTGCATCTCCATATAAGCTTCTCTATATTGACCTAATAATCTGTTTTCGATATAGTTTTCTTGGGAAATTTTCATTCTACTGCAGTGAATTGCCCATACTCTTATTTTTGATTTACAGGAGTCCCAAAAATAACCTTTTTCCGCATCATCTAAATTGGAGAGTTTCTCAGCTATTCAAAGCGCTAAGTCTGTTAGTAAAGCTGCGAGGCAACCGTCCGGAGGAACTGGACAATCAGGCTAAATGCAGCCATGCGTGAAAACGTTTTCGGTATATATTTGGAATTTTGGAACGCTAGGCTACTTCGTACGTTTATAGGCTATTACAGTACTAAAGATCAAGGATAAAAACACCAGAATATTGATACGTATAAATTGAAAAGAAAGGAATTAACTGTACATATCAGATATCCCACTTATGTTGACAATGTCGTTGATTCGTGGTAATAAACCTCCGGAAACAAACGAACTTCTTGAGATTGGAAAGGTTTTTTACCATCATACTAACACGAAATTTCATTTTTAATTTAGCTTGGATTAATTCCTCCAGATGGGATCGTTTTAATAGGCCATTCAGGCAAAAGAGCACAATATTATTGAAAAAAATAACCGAAAGAAAAAAAATCATTCATGTCTTTGCCCGGAAATCAGAATGGGCAGAATAAAAATTATATATTGTCACGATGACGACGAAATGACCATACGTATGTCTACTTTTCAGCATCTATCTTATATACTCAATAGGATAGGATTAACATATTTATCCCGGGGAGAGAAAAGCCGATAAGACAGCCTAATAATATGGCGAACCACGGCAAGTGGTTCAACAAGTAATAATTAAACAACACGTATTACGGTTTCGGTAGATGACTGGGTGGTAACGATACGACCGTATACGGCCACAATTCGATGCCTGGAATTCGACCAAATAAAAGAATCTGAGTAAGTCTAATATTGAGAATGAAAACGTGAAAATATGGGAAGAGAGTTCGCCGTGGTAATAATGAAAACAGGATAATACCACACAAACACAGAGAATGGAAATCCAGGGTAATTGCCGAAACTTTCAAGAAGATTTGGGCACGCTGGCCTACATACATTTTGGTGGGTAGGCACGTACCGTACTTGTACGTTTTTTAACTTTATTTTAAGTTATGCTCGCCTTCCAGGTATCTCTGTATTTGTTGTCTGTTTACTTTTTTGTATTGTTCTGTATTTGTTGTCTGTTTACTTTTTTGTATTGTTCCGTTTTAGTCAGAGAGCCGAAATAAAATGATTGATTGATTGATAACAGTACTACGTGGGCAAGCTTTCATCGTGATATAGAATGAGAAGGGGAAAACAGGATCTCCCTAACTTTATGCTGGCGAGTATCGCGTCCCATACTCGGGAGCAGATAAAATTCAACCAACGAGGTGATAACGCATGATAACCCGGAAATTCTATGTTATTACATTATTTTCAAAAAACAACTAAGGTATCGCAGGAGCGGTGTCAGCAAAATAAGCACGGAATTCAAAACATACTACCATGTTTCCCCTAAATAATACAGTGTCTTATTCCAATTTTTTTTCGAAAAATAACACTAGGTATTATTTTCGGGAGATGTCTTTTATGTTTATTTATCAAAAACAAAAATTACAATGAAGAGAGTTACGAGATTCTCAAATATGAAAACCGATATCCATTTACTTAATTGACACGTTTTCCTCTCTCACACGTTTTAGAATAAACATTTAAAACGTGTGGGAGAGATTTCTTGCTATCGATTAGTTAAAAAAAATCGCGCTATTGACTAGGTCTTATTTTAGGTGAGGGCTTATATTGAAATAATCCTAAAAATTAGGCTAGGTCTTATTTTCAGGGTAGGTCTTATTTTCGGGGAAACACGGTATTACGACAGCACACTTGCAATACTTGCGACGATTGCCATTAGTTGTAATTTTAATAATTAAATTCAGTAATTTTGTTATATCAACAGATGCGTGAATAACATGATGTTCACACTGTAATTCATGGTCTATTATTGCAGAATAAATAAAAGTTACTAAAATTCGCAAATTATGACGGAAATGAAAACATACTGGCGAATTCACTTAAAGTTTCTGTGTGTGACGTCATAAAGACAAAATCCAGAAGACATTTCAGGGAACAAATAATTTCGAATTATTTTCGCAAACATGTAGACCTTTTTGACAAGTAATAGGGGAAAAGAGCGTCTCATAACTGAAGCCATGTCGTTGACGGCGAATGTGGGGATGCGTAGTGATACGTCCAATGTGGATAAAGAAGTCAGGTAAACAGAGTGAGATCACGTAGACATTATGTCTCCATGCTCATTGAATTCAGTGCCAAAGGTTCATTTCTGATATTTCTGCCTAATATGATTTTCCATTTGCTTCCCATTAAAATATAAAGCGCTGTTTATTTATTTTTTATGTATTTTTGATGTAATGTGAGTAACTACCGTGTTTCCCCGAAAATAAGACCTACCCTGAATTTTTAAATTGATTTCAATATAATAAATAATAATAATAATAAATAAGACCTATAATAATAAATAAGACCAATAAAATAAGACCTAGTCGACAGCGCAATTTTTTTACCTTGTCGATAGCAAGAAATCTCTCCTACACGTTTTAAATGATTAGTAATCTATGTTTAGCAGTTATTTCAAATAAAAACGTGTTAGTTATGAGTAAATGGATATCGATTGTCATATTTTCTATATTCGAAAGTCTCGTAATTCTCTACTTTGTAATTGTGTTTTTGATAAATAAAAATAAAAGACTTCCTCCAAAATAAGGCCCAGTTTCATTTTTCGAAAAATAAAATGATTGAGATATTTTCGGGGAAACACAGTGCATCGTTTTAAATCCCACTTTAAATTTGTTCGCTATTTTGGTGATTCTTACAATTTCTGTAGCTTGTTTGTACGTTATTGTTCTATTTGCTATGTAATTAAAACACACTCTCAAATGAACTAAGTGGAAGCCTCGAGGGGTAATTTGAGGAAGTAATTGTTAAACATGCACATGAATCTATTTTTGTGCTTCGTCAAGTTCTCCGAGATATCTGTTATTCCTGCTTGTTTGGAAATGAAGTCCTTTTAGCTGTAATTTTTTTACAGAAAATAGGAAGTTTTATGTTAAGCCTTATTTTAAATGCAAGGTATTAATATTTCAGATCTCAGAAAAGTCTCCCATTTGCAAAAATATTTGATCTTCCACGTAGAAGCATAGGAACACTGAAAGAACGACTGAAACTTGGGCGTGCTGCTCGTGGACTGAAAAAACGAATGTCTCGTTCGGACACGACGATTATTGCACCAAAGGCTACAATATCAGCAAGACTGAAATCCGTCGTCTCTGTACAGAGTGCGAAAATGTAAATATATTTTCTGTACTTTTGATGTATACCGTACAGGTACACAGAGAAAGATTTCATTTCACAAATAACGTCAACACTATAAAACATTTGAAGCAACAGAAACAAAAAATAATAAATCAATATTAATTGGTTATAATTATTTGTGAGGGTCGGTATACAAGACCGAGTCACCGAGGCTTCTGACCCATGTTGTATATAAATAGGTCACATAAAGCATTAGCGATGAAATATGGATAAAAATAGAGATAAAATTTAAAATGTATATGTGCGAGTCAGCAATTTAATATTCTAAAGTTAATAAGGCAAGTCGTGATGTTAATAGGTCACATGAGATTTAAGAACTTAGGACTTAATTACATGTAATTATATTGTGTATTTTGTTCTCTCAGTTATCTACCACTGGAGCTGCTTTACTATCGGGTAACGTCGGCAGCATTTATCAATCGGACATTCTTAAACCATAGCGAGTTATTTGTGATGCCAAGGCTGTATTTGGATATTACTGATCCAACAAATATCTGAAACGTTTCCCCCATTCTCAATTATTAGTGGTTAAATAACCAAGGCCGACCGAGAGCTGGAGTGTTCGGGTAGAACCGAATGACTTACAACAAGAGAGCTATGCTCAAATATATGGACACGTAGCGCCACCCAATGGCAATAATTTTGATGACGTCATAGCGAAAAAAAAAGTAATAGCCTTCTGGAGAAAAATTTTATCTTCAACCACTGAAAATTTCAAAGCAATTGGTCCAGTATTCGAAGAGAAAAGCGACTTTTTAAAAACGTGTCAAAGAACAACAACAAGGATAACAAGAACAAGAACAACAACAACATAATATTGAAACGATCGTTATGTCCACTACGTGTCCAATAATTTGGAAATGACAATATTTCGAACTTCTTTATTCATACTATCATGAATCGTTAAAATAACTCCATATTTAAACAATTTAAAGGAAGTTTCTAAAAATTGAGAATTGCATCTATAATACGCCTCTGATTACATATATACGCGATGTGGAATTCATAGGATATCCGAAGATCGTCGTTTAGTCTATTCAGTTAATTCAGAGCGCGCCACGGCGATTTGCTAACTTCGCCCCGAGTTGTGTTAAACATAACTACCTAATATAAAATTGAATATTTTACATATTCAATCCATTATTAATGTTTTATTGTTTCTTATTTTGAATGTTTAAATTCAGTTTAAGTTACTATGTCGTTTACTTTGTGTTACGTAAGTTTAGTTAATTGTTAATTAGTCTAACTAACTAACACTCGCTTTTATATTGTGAAACAGCATGGTTGAAAAGATTACACCAACAACTAACAAGGTTCCGATCACTAAATGGTCAAGAAAATTGTATGGAAGCGACAAAGCGGTAAGAGTTGTCTCTTTTAATTAATGTGGTGATAATTAGATTAAGGAATGTGCAAACTACGGCCCGCGGGCCAAATACTGCCCACAACGAAAAAAGTCAATTTTGAATGGTGCGACCTGCGAAACTGGATTTTAATTTAATCTGGTACGTGCGAGTAATTCCAATTCATTTGCGCTACAAAGGTAGGCTTACCATACGTCCCGATTTAGGCGGGACAGTCCCGCTTTTCATCGTTTTGTCCCGCCGTCCCGATAAGTCAGCCAAAAGTCCCACTTTTCCAGCATAATGCACAAACATGTTCTCGTTACTGTTGTTTCTGTGTAGCGCAGCGCTGGCCTACTTACTGGAGGTGAATGCGTTCGTTTCCCGCTGATTCCCATTGATGGCAGACGTATCGCATGTAAAACCAATACTAATTAGTCTAAATTCGAATTATTTGTACCGGTATCGTTAACGTCAATTCCTTCCTATTTTCCGAACTGAACCCGATATTTGGACAGAGAATATGCGCATGAAATTTCGATAACAATATGGTCAATAAAGGCAGCCGAGACAGCTTTAAATGTAGGAATGTAGGCCTATGTAGTAAAATCGGAAGATGTGAAGTTACAAAATCACAGCTAAGGGGTCGTTGTCTTTTGAGGCGTCCCGATTTGAAGTCACAAAAATGTGGTAACCCTATAGTAAAGGCCATACCTGAGTCCGATTTATTATCTATGCCTATGGCGTTACAATGCCCGTACAGCTAACTTGCGCGAAGCGAACAACGCATGTCATAAGATCACTAACAAAAAAAATCGTGCGTTCTAATTCTATGTAATGTACGTGCGCCACGCGGTTTAACCCAGTTATTAGTACCTGGTCCTCTTGTATTAAAAGGTTGCACCCCCCTGATTTTGATTGGTAGCGTTCAAAGTTACTTTTCCGAGTTTTATTAATTCCAATTTCCGACATCGTTCATTTGCACATATACAAGGCATTTTGTTATTTCTGTAATATTTATAATTTGACAGCCACGCGAACTCGTGGCATCAGATAACTTTTTAACGGCTCTTTGTTTAAGTTTAGAACAAAGTTTGAGACGAGCGTTTACCTAGGCTGGTGACATGATTATATCGAAATTTAGGTAATTCCGTAGTGTGTATACCCTGTCAGGGCTAGCCACCAATTTTTCCTATTTTAGTTCTATTGCAAGTTTGGGGACTGCCTGTGTTAGTCAAGTGAATATACCACCTGTTCTTAGGCTTCCATTCCTTTACACAACTTGATATAGAGTGGGCGAACCAAATTAGTTACTTCCATATTGGTTCACACACTTCTGGCGCGCTGAATTTTATTCTATATACTAAGTCGCTTCAAAAGTAACGCGTTTGGGATTTGGTCTTGAGAAAATAATGTGCCTTAACTACGATAACTAGCACACCACGACAAATCGGCTTGTAGTTGTAATACTTGTGGTGAAAGTATATTGAAATAAGAAACTCGAAAAATAAAAGTAATAGTGAATATATATTTTAAACAAGAACAGCAACTTTGGGCGTTTCAGAAGATATGGAGCTAACTAATTTTGTTCACCTACTTAACTACTTTACATCAAGTTGTGTAAAGGGACTGAAACCCATGGGCAGGGGGTATGTTCACTTGGCTAACACAGACAATCCCTGAACTCGTAATAGAACTAAAACAAGAGAGCTACGCCCAAATATATGAACACGTCTGTTCGCAGTACAGTACGGTTTACCGTACCGTCAGATCACAGTCTACAAATATATTCACACCAAGCGAAGCAGTACAGTAGGACACAAAATGGCGTCCGATGTCCGCAGAACGTTTGATGACGTCATAGCAAACAAAAACAAATCTCACAGAGCTAAAAGAAATATTTAAAATGAATAAAAGTAATAGCCTTCTGGGGAAAAATTTTATCTTCAACCACTGAAAATTTCAAAGTAATTGGTCCAGTATTCAAAGAAAAAAGCGATTTTTTTGAAAATGATGGAGACAAATAATAACAATAGCAATAACAACAAAATTTTGAAACGATCGTTATGTCCACTACGTGGTCCAATAAAGAAAACCGGAATAAAATTATGGCACAACCCTAACCTACGTATTCCAGCTGAGTCGAAATCTCTTCTAGAGTCACCAATAGCAACCGAGGATTATCACGCAATCACACTGATTAGCGAACACTTCAAAAATATTAATCGACTATTACAAATTGTTTTAAGAGATTAATTTGCAATCTTAATCGATTTTTGAGGCAAATTTGTTCGAGTATTATGATTTACTACCTGGGAAATATATATTTTGCCACTGCAAAGAGTAGCCTATAGCAGTGAGTGAGTGTTGAATTGTTGCAATTCTAATACGCAAGGTTTAGATTATTGACAATTAGAAGATTTTAGCCATCGTAATATAGAAAACGGAAAGTCAATTCCTTATTTTACTGAAAATCAGATATTATCTAACAAACTATAAAGCAGATAGACGATGTCTGTCAAGCCTGAGCCAGAACAGTTGAGTCAAATAGTCTTTGATAAAATTTCATGTTAGCGCGTTGCCAGGCAGTTTAGACTAGATTAGAGGGTACTCCCGTAGTATGTGTACCAGGTTAAGGCCAAGCCATAATTTTATTCCGATTTTACTCATTTTAGTTTTATTACGAGTTCGGGGACATACGAGTCAAGACAAATCTGTCTATGCATAGGATGCTAAAATCAGTTTAATTGAAAACTTTCCGTGTATTTTAACCAGTTAAGTTGTTAATTGGTAGTGATATAGTCATAATTAAACATGATGGAAAATCAAAAATCGCCCACACGATTTTGGCGAGCTGCTAAGAGACGAAACGAGGTGGGTCGAATTTCAATCTTTCACAAGATGAACTCAATGAAAGCTGTTGAGTACACATTTAAAATATATATATACACCGTGACCCCCGACTCGCCACGTTGATGGAATTTATATTCCGACACCAGCTCCGAACTCCTGAGGAAATCAAATTTTGGTGACAAAAACTTTGGGGTATGCAGGCCTTTAATGCAGGCTTGTCCATGAAACATATTTTTGAGTCCCATCCCAGAACAATTTATGCCTGTCCAATCTCATCCCACGGGATTCCCATTGGAATACAATTCAATAGAAATTGTTAAATTCAGGTTCAGCGTCTACTAAATAGGACTACATGTACGAATAGACATGCGAAACAACAAAATTTACTGGCTTCGTTAACTTTAAATTCATTGCTATTATATGCACATGTGTCCACCAGCCCATTCACAAAGTATATTGTTAATGCTGAATATATTTTGCTCTTTATAACTAACAAGAGGGCTATGCTCAAATATATGGACACGAAGTCCAAAACGAAATGTTTTACCCTAATTTCACCCAAAATCAGACGGTTTTCGTGTCCCATGGGAAATACAAATGTGTGCTGTCCCATCTCATCCCATGGGACGTTTCCCATGCTAATCCCATTCCCATGAACGAGCCTGCTTTGGTGGAATGTTAAGAATTTATATTTTCGTTTCTGTGGAAATTTAATTATCACCGAAGTCCAAATGTTCTCACTGGATTTTAAAAATTTATCATATTTTTGTCAACACCGGCTAAGCAAAAATATTAAAAGCGATATTTCTGTAATTTTCAGCGTGCAATGACAAAATAGTCCGGACATGCGACTATTGCTAAGTTTTTCAATTTATACTTTTGGAACTTCTGTGCAAAACCCCTGCCAACGCTCAAAATAAAAAACTTAGTAATTATCCAGTTAGGGTTATGATCGCAGATTGCGCTAAAAATTCAAATTTTTTATTCATTCCTAATTGGATAATACTTACCTGCCATCAATGAACCCCGTGGTGCGTCCGGTAATTCAAAACATATCCGCTAGGTGATGCTCAGAAATCGTAGAGTTTATTGGAATTTGGAATCGCCAGAAGTGCACAAAAATGCGCACAACCTGAACATAGTATGTGTGTAAAGGTTTGGGTTCAGGTTGTGCGACATCTTGGTGCACATAATTCTGAAGCGACGCTTATTGTATGAATAGTGAATTATCCGAATCGTAATTTTCACAATTCATTAACTAATAATAAACGCACACAACAATCTATTTATGTTATTTTGTCCAACTCTCTAATATTTCCGATTTTTCTCATTTCACTTAGGATGGGATCGGATACGTTTTCTAGAGTTATTCCGGGAGAGAAAAGAAAGTCGGTAAGCCGGTAATCATATGGCGAACCACGGTCTCTCGTCCGGTTACCAGTCCATGTCGGGTATGGGATTAGTTGGCTAGTTATTTATTTTCGGGAGCATGGACTTAATTCCACTTTAACTAATTAATCCGCAAGGAAGACGTAAATTCAAATTCAATGATATGCGAGATTATAGCCATATTCTCCGCTATCTCCAGGAAAGTTCACGCAAATGCCAGCTCAAATTTTTGTGCCAAAATATCGGTAAATTTAAAATGAGTGGCGGAGTTCCATCTACCCAGGTCAACTATGAAATGTCAATAGCTATTTCTCTTATACTTTACAGGTAATGCACGAACATGAGCGACTTATGAAAGCTGGATTTGTTATTCATCCTTTCAGTAATTTTCGATTGACTTGGGACGTTTTATCAGCTATTTTGATCCTGGCAAATATCGTCATAATTCCAATGGACATTGCTTTTTCTACGTGAGTACATTAGGGCATACTGTAAAAGTAAGATCGGGCCAAAACTTCCAGCCCGGCCCGATCCAGGCCCGTGGGTATTAAACCAGACCCGGCCCGACTAATTTGCAGGCCCGAAGCGAACCCGAAAATTCATATTTTATTTAAGAGTTTATTGAATTGTCATTGCAAGAGTTTAGTATGTGTCGTGTTGATGAGGCAACGCCTCATTTAAAAAAAAGTCAGTGATAGAGAAGCCCGACCCGACCTGAACGTAATGATTGACATTTCAGGCCCGAGCCCGACCCGAAATTCGGGCTTCAGATCTCAGCTATAATAGGACATAGGTCCTTAAAGTGCTTCATACGGAAACCCAGGGCTCTGTGCGAGAAACCTATGGTCACCAAGAACTATTCGTTTACTTATTAAAATACTGACGTGGCTAAATTTGTAATTTTTCTAACATATGGATACTGCTTTTTTTGCTCGAGTACATTAGGGTTCTATTCTCATGGCTAACAATTCGGGGAAAATGACACCCAATCCTGACATAAAATGATTCAGAAACGATTTTAATTTAGACTCTCGATTACGGAAAGCCTAAGAGAATCTAGGTTAGAGAACACTTTGACTCTAACCAGCTACGAGGGAACCCTAGGGAAGTTAATTTTGATGACGGAAATTTTGGCGCATGCAAGGCTTTTTTACTAGTCTGTTGAGAATGCTCAGTCAACTCAATGCTTTTTAGATTTCTGACTTTGAATATGACTATAAAATAATGTGTGCTTTCGACTAATACTCCAGAAAATTACGACCACGACTGCAATTCTCAGCTCAGGAGAGTTAAAAAATAGTACTTCGGTGCTTTTTAGATTTTAGATTCGGTGCTTTTTAGAAAATTTCGACTACGACTGCAATTCTCAGCTCAGGAGAGTTTAAAAATAGCACCTCGGCTCAACCTCCAATATTAATAGAAACTCCGATTCACATGAATGTTCTTGCATAAGCAAACTTGAGAATTAGATTTCGTAAATCATCAAACATTAGAGCTGACATTGCTAACGAATATTAGCTCTAGGTTCCCAAATCACGCCTTCAAATAAACCTCAAATTTCTCATCATAACGTCATGAGAAGTTTTTTCGCATGACATTAAGGTGTTTTGAAAATTTCACCACTTTACCGAAGTCTGAAATGAGCTAACGATAACTTATATACCAAAAATAAGTATCCCCATGAACAGCGACAATTTTTGAAGAATGTAATCTTTTTTCTATTCTCCCACAGGGCAGAAGAAGACATTCGCAGCGTCGTCTTCAAACTGATATCTGACATGTGGTTCATGGCGGATATTATTTTGAACTTTCGAACTGGAATAAAGACCGACGGCGGTGACAAAACAACCGTCGAGCTTGAACCTAGAAAGATCGCTAAACTGTAAGTTTGGAGAATATTTCTTTGATTCACATAAAAATCAATCGCTGGTTTTCAATTAAGTTGGATCATGAGTATGTTTAGGTCACATTATCAGGTCCCAAAAACTAAAAATGAATGTTCAGAATAACTTAACAAAAAAGATGAAGAAGACCGATGAATTGCCGGAAACTCCGTGTTATTTTATTGCTAAACTTGAAGATAGACAAAGTAAAAGCTTCAAATATGCGCTGTGCTCTGATTAAAGACAGATGTGTACTCCCGTAGTATATGTACCAGGTTAGGGTTAGGCCATAATTTTAATCCAATTTTCCTTATTTTAGTTCTGTTACGTGTTCGGAGATTGTCTGTGTTAGCCAATTGAATATACCCACTGCCCATAGATTTCAGTCCATTTACACAACTTTATGTAAAGTAGGCGAACAAAATTAGTTACCTCTATATTGGTACACACACTTTTGGAGCGTCGATGTGTGATCATATTATGATATCATAAAACTTTCTCGACCTTCATATCATCCTCTATATATTCGGAATTTCTTGTTTTAAATTTAAAAATGAACCTTTATGCCAGTTTTTTAATTCTGTTTGTTAGTTGTTATCAAAGAATTAAATCAGCATAAACCTTTTCAGATATATTCGCCGATGGTTCTTCATTGATCTGATCGCTTCCTTGCCATTTGACTTCATCGTTCGTCTATTTCTCGATACTAAAAGAAGCAAGGCAGTAAGGTTTCTTAGAATCGGGAAAGCAGTTGCTCTCGTAAAAGTTGCGAGGGTACCAAGGTACGTCAATTGCTATTGATTATATATGACTCAAAAGACTATATATAGGAAATATTTGCTAATTGGTAATTTAACTTGAATTTTCAGTCGCTCGGGCACTTTCAATAAAGCATTGCACTTGATAGACAAGACACATCTTGTGTTGTTTCACTGCATTGAACCCAAATTTCTATATATATTGTCATATACCCATTACTACTTTTAGTTGTAAAAAAAGGTTTACGGAGATGGGTTTTATTTGTGAGTTCCTGTTGTGCTTGCACTGTCAGTAATTTTGTCAACCGGCAAAGAACTTTAATCTGACTTTGGACAGTCTTAAAAAATTTTTTTGGTGGTTTGACCTGATCCAATAATGTCAACCTGCGTTCACATATTTTTCCTGTTTTTCTATCGCCTTTGTTTGCGTTGTTCATATTTTGGTTCTGTTTAATAGACGAAATACCAAATATCGTATATTTGTCTGCTTGACAAGCAACAATCTTTCACAGGCTTATCCGTGGTATTCATCATTGGGAAGAAATCTTCAATCTCCAATACGATTTCGCCGTGTCAATGATGAGGTTCGCCTATCTGGTCTTCTTTATATTCATGACTTGTCATATCAATGGATGCTTACAGGTATTTTTTCAACCCTTATCTATCTAGCATGCGATTAACTTGGGGCTGGTGATCCAAGCCCCCGTGACCACAACATCGATCGCAATAATATCGCGTCTTAGTAGTTTACACCGGGGGTGTGCAACCTTCAATAATACAGGATGGCTAGATAGAAATAACTGGGTGAAACCGCGGGCCGCACCTTTGTCATAAGCTTTCTAGTAGTTGCAGCTCAAAAATTTTGGTTATTGATCTTATGCGTTGTTTGCTTCGCACAAGCTAGCTGATAGGGTATTGTAAAGTCATAGGCATATATGATACATTGGACTCGGGTATGAGGTTTGGACTTACTACTAAATTAAAAACTCGTTTCGCGGGCCGCAAGATTTTTCCTTGAGGGCCGCATTTGACGCGCGGACCTCAGGTTGCACACCCCTGGTCCACACAAAACCACGATAATTTACGATTCAGAATAAATGCATCTTCCACCTTTTGTTTAAATAGATATTTGTGTATAACGTTGTTCAGGGTGGCGGTAAAATAATCTACTAAAGTCCTCGGTGTTTTTATGATCGTATATAAGGGGTTAAAAGAACCACAGTTATACAGGATGTGACAAAAATAGGATTAACATTCATAAAATTAATCATCAATTGAATGATTATAAATCTTTCTGGCTATTTTGAATGTTAAGTTAGGACGCCTGAAATGTCTTCTCTTTTGTTGCTTTTCAGTACATGGTTCCAATGTTCTACGATTTTCCCGAGGATACCTGGGTTCGTATGAGAGGATTGGATCATCCTAACGTTACATGGTGGGAAGCCTACTCATGGTCGCTTTTCAAAAGCACAAGTCAGATGTTATGCCTAGGTAGCGTGGGAACTATTTGTTCTGTACAATGTACTATTTGTGTACGTTACTACGATATAGCAGTGACACGGGCAAATTACGGCTTGCGGGCCAAATCCGACCCGCTTGGTAATTCAATCTGTCCCGCCTGATGCTGCCACAACCAAACTAAAATCAAACTTTGATGTTTATTTTTATTTATCGAAAACAAAATTACAAAGTGGAGAATTACGATATTTTTATTAAATATTCATTTTATACTCACGATATAAACCGATATCCATAAATTTATAAATAACACGTTTTTATTTAAAAGAAACTGCTGGGTCTTATTTTAAGGGGAGGCTCATATTAAAATCATTTTTAAATATCAGGCTAGGTCTTATTTTCGGGGAAACACGGTATTACTTTGCCCTCTGCTCAGAATAGTCAAAGACAAATTTAAATGTAACTACACTATTTTTTAATGCTCGTGCAATCTATATTTCTACAATCCATACAGGTTACAGCCAGATTATTCCAGTCGGAATGGTTGATCTATGGATGACAATGCTGAGTCAGATTACTGGAGCAATTATATTTGCCATATTTATTGGTAATGCTATTAACCTTATGGAAGAAATGGACGCCTCCAAGAACGCATTCAAGATGAAAATTAACCAGGTATGTAAGAGTAAATTTTGAAATTATACCAGGATTGAATGGAATTACATTGTAGGCTACTGACTGCCAACGATGAAAACTCGTGTATTCAAGATTGCGAAATAGGCTAGCCGTTGTTGCCAGGGGAACCAAGGAGTCGATCTTTATAGTTTTCAAACAATTCTTTGCCGAGAGCAAATAGAACCAAATTGTTTGTGTTGCAATTGAAAATCGTTCTTAATTACGGTGGCTTTACCGTACTAGTATATACACATACACGCAGTCATTCGTGGACTTCCGATGGAGACAATGCTGGCACGCAATACTCTTTACAAGTTGTACATGTGCTTAAGAAATCTCCAGACAAGTTAATATTTATCACGCATTCTTGAATTTCACACAGATACAAGAGTACCTGGGATTTCGTAGAATTCCCATCAAACTGCGCCGGAAAGTTCTTGATTACTGCGAAATGCGATTTCAAGGAAAGCTATTCGATGAACATCAAATTCTAAAGGAATTGAGTCCTTCGCTACGGCGTGAGGTTGTCTGGTACAATACATCCGTTTTAATACAATCTGTTCCTCTGTTTGAAGAAGTTAGCGACGAATTCGTGTATGAACTAGGATACGTTTTGAAATACTCTGTTTACATGCCGCAAGATGTGAGTATAGAGCTGAATGTTTGAAATTCTTGGTCGTCTTGACTACAAGATCTGTCTGGAGTATAGAAACAATCATTTAAAATTCTTAATCATTTTTATGCTGCCCGGAAAATATACAGTATTTTTAATTTTTGTCTATATCCCGAACGGACCAAAGTCGTGTTCAACAATGTGAGTGGGCCGTTCCATCGCCTTTACTTTCCTTCGTTTTAAATATATATAAGGAATTTAAATTTTTCATATTTATGTATCGTTAACCTAAAAATTTAATTTTTCTTCAGAAAATTGTCAAGGAAGGAACAAAAGCTCTTCATATGTTTTTCATTAGCCGGGGTGAGGTAGAAATTCGTTCTTCCACATTTGTCAATTACCTGTCAGACGGTGGGCACTTCGGAGAGTCTTGTCTGTTCAGTTCTGAAATGCGTAGGTCCGCTGATGTCACAGCTTTGACCACGGTTCACATTTACATGCTGCACAGATGCGATTATGTGAAGGTTTTGGCAAGATTTCCAGACGAGGCTGACAGGATTAGAAATTTCAGTCGCAGAATACGCGACATTTCGTCAAGATATGACTTCATTAGAAATCACAATTTCTAGTCTTGCACTGTAGTAATTTCTCAATTTTTTTTTCTGTTTTACAAAACACTGTAGTTTTTAATCTGTATTTTTTAAGGTATAAAAAGTATAAATAAAGAATCGTGAGAGTGATCAATAACTATATTTTATGCTTTCAATTGGATTTGAAAGACTAAGAAAATTTGCATACAAGGTGTGGGGGGTACCGAAAAAATTTCGGGGTTAATAAACTTGGTAGCTTCGTAGATGAAGTAGCTAATTATGGGTTCTCCTAAAATCCGCCTGTTGATTTATATAATACTTTATATATTATATGTATAAAACAATTTTTGACAAGATTTTCTAATGCAATAATATAGGGGCAAATTAGAAATAAAAACGAGGTGTAATCGCTTGAGCTAACATTGATGGATATGAATCACCATTGTGACGCATGAATTGAGGCAATAGGGGCTCAAAATGAGGTCGTGTGTTGATAGACTGCTGCTGGGCATTGTGGAATATTTGGGACGACACGGATGTGCATCTTAATGCTTCAAAGTTTTGAAGGTAAAAATTCTCACTTGTAATACTAGGAGGCGAAATATGATGTAGAGGTAGACTAAGATTAGTTGGAATTCTTACAATGGGCGGTATGTCTGTCTGAAACGACGTGTTAATCATACCGGTAGGATATTTCACAATTGTATTGTCGGAGTTGTCATTTCTCATAAGATTGAGATATGGAGTATTAGAACAGTCTGGCGAAATACTATCGTGTCTCACAAATGCTGTGTATTGTGGTACTATACGCGAATGATTGGGAAAGTTTAGCGGCTCCGTCTTAGAAACACAAGCTTTTCGGTACAACATATCTTGAGAAACATTAGTGTTTTGATTTTTGCAAAATGTTTTCGAGCAAGTTCTATTCAAAATTGAATCTATAGAAAAATCGCTTTGTCTCTTCCTGTGAGTTTCCACGGTTTTATTTTCATCGTTACTGCTACATTCAACACGATGTTTAGTTGCAACTCTCTCTTTATCGTCATGGTGTAAAGCGCGGTCGTCAGTTTCTGACGGGCCAGACTGCCAAGTTTCTGAATCATTTTGTCGCAAACTTTCTACACACATGGGACTTTCCGATTCAGAAGAGAGGGATTCATATCCGTAGTCTGATGATGTATTACCAGATGAACCAGTTGGCACCTTAGTATTGCACGTACATTGACATTTTCTTTGTGTATTTCCCACGTGTATTGAGTGTTTAATTTCATCTGAACTAATTTTCTCGGTGGATAAGTCCATTTCCGTTTGTTCTGAAGTCTGTGGTTGTGTAGGAATTATATCCTTTTTGTTTGGCTTGGTAACCCTACTGTCGTTCTTGTCAAAAAAGGAAAAAACATTCTGTGATCCTTCTGCAAAAGTCCAGTAGTGACCTGAAAATATTAATAAAACTGTATTAATTGTTGTCTGCATTTTTATTGCAAAACTCAACGTAGTTCCTGTTACGGGTATATATCGCTGATTTTTATTCAGACAAGAAACATTTGGTAGCATTAAAAACAACAAAACACATCGAACTTAATTGGCAGTCCTGTACACGTCTTGGGTAGCTGTCCTAAATTCAAATCTGAGCTCTTATCCGTTTACAGCAGGAGTGGGCAAGATTTTGGACCAGGGACCAAAAAATTTGCCCACCTAGACTGGCGGGCCATGTAAGTATAAATAAGTTACGTTTTATGAACAATATTTACAGTGTTACAAAAGAAAAAGTGGAAATCAATAAGCCTCGTGACGAAACTAAATTCAATCGCAATTTCAACAAATTTCTTGAGGTATTTTTTGGTTTCTGTTTGGTTGTTGCAGCATGAGGAGGGCCAGATTAAATTACCCAACGGGCAGGATTTGGCCCGCGGTTCGTACTTTGCCTATGTCAGGTTTACAGTGTACCTACCAAACAGAAAAAATTTCATGTCCACAGTTGTTGTTTCCAAGAACTTCAGTTATGTGGATTAACTACCCATGGCTGTTTTCTTGGTTGTGTTGACATGAATTGCTTTAAACTAAAGTCTCGTATCAATCGGTTACTTTGAGCAACGTTCCTTGAAAACCCTAATAAACACTAAACTAAATCTCTACTCCTAGCTTTCGAAGGAATACAAGCAGTTAGCTGCAGACAATATTTCACTGTATAACATACCTTTTCCTGGTGGGTCTTCATTTGTTCTTGCCACTTTTACAAAACACGAATTCAATGAAAGATTATGTCGGATCGAGTTCTGCCACGCCTTTCGGTTTTTGCGATAATAAGGAAAGTTTTCTGAAATGTACCTGTTGAAATACAAAGGGCATTGATAATTTTTTCAATTTATACTTTTGGATCTTATGTACAAAGCCCCCGCCAAAAAAGGATTGCAGGTTTTGCTAAAAATTCAAATCATTCGTAACCGCAACTGGATAATTACTAATTTGGTATTTAAAAACGTGGCGCTGTGTTTTTCTCAAATTTCACTAAAGCTTTGCTAACCTGCAATTAGGCTTGCACGTAATTGACAAAAATCAATTCCGTAATTACGGCAAAATCAATTACGTAATGACCCCGTAATTGCGATATTTTTCCACGCATTTAAACCTATCATAACAACCAATTGAATCCACTTCTTTTCCGAAGGGGACATTGAAGTTGGGTTTTCATATTCTTGGCAGTACTACACGCCGGCGGCAGATGTTAAATACAAATATCAAGGAGTGAATTCAAATTAATTTTATTCTGATTTTTATCTTTTGTGTTAGCTTCGGTTTTCCTTTAACCGTCCCATTTTTATGCGATCAATTTTATTTTATCATTACCGACACTGGTATACGGATATTTATGAAAACGATAGTTTTTTAAAACCACCTTAGTACTGAATAAAAATTACGGGTTTCTAATTTATTAACCAACGAGGAGCGTATTCTCTCGTTTGATTATACTTGCGATTTCCTCGCTACGAAGACTTGTTTTTGCAGCGTCTTCTGCATTATCCGACATTACTGCCTTGTTAGCATTTTATTATAATAATTATTGATGTCGACTTATTGACGATATTCCGATTACCATGCTTCATTTTACATTTAATCATTTCGCGGACTGAATGTTTATAACATTATTTGCGATAAATTTAGATCAAATATTATTTATTTGAGTATAATTTAAATATGGAACTTATATGATATGCCTTCTCCGAAAATACAAAGTTATATCGCAAAACAATTCATTTTGTGACATTTATTTTACACTCACGACATTTATTTGCTAACTCAAGTCGGCGATCCTATCGGCCAAGATTGACACAAGTTTGGTCGAGTGCCGGTGGTATTCAAGTCGACGATAAACCAAAATAAGTTGCCGCATTTGGTAAGACAGTTAATCATATATGGCCGAAATATTGAGAGGAATTGTGAAAAACATCATGAGCAAGGCCAAGTCAGGACTGATATATAACGATAAAACCGTTAACAGAACATCAAGATTTTGTAATAGAAAATGGATCTCGCACAGAATAAACACACTGGCTCATATTTGATTATATATGATAGCAGTTGAATTTTTAGCGGTCCGCGAGGAATCCGTCGTTTTGCTGTTTCTCTGCCGTCTCAATCGCTTTACCGATGCCGAGAAGACGAAGTTGCGTTGGTTCATTACGCAATCTCTCTTTTGTCGTCATATTGCTATTTGATAAGCGCGACATTAATTATCACGGCGAGGTATTGGCGCGAGTGATCAATCGCTCTTTTCGCTTATTTGGTTCCAATTCGTCGCGAAAGCTCTTCGTTAAATTTCACAAGATCGTCGTGTTGAAAGGTTATGGATATTTTCCTGTTTATACCCCAAGTCTGAAATAAAACAGCCAAAAACAGTATGATATTCCATGTTCATATATCAAGTGTTGATATTAACAATAAAGAATGGTTAGGCATTGCTAATCCACACTTGGTGGAGAATTCCCACTATTTAAACGCGTGACTATAAAATAGAAACGGAACATATATACCATAAGTAACGGAAAACTGGAACAAGTAAATAATAAATAAAAGTAAAATGGATACAAATGCTTGATAGACCATGTTTGAAAGATTGATCTCCTGCGTTCATTAGTCATTTCACCCGAAGAAGTTGAAACCGTGCGTGTTAGCGTCCATCGGTCTTAACACAATTCTTCCCCCTATCTACGGTTATTATGTACATTGGCCATGGCCATGCTAGATAAGATGCGAGAGAAGTTGAAACCAGGTGTGTTGGCGTCAATCGGTCTCAACGCAATTTTATCCCTTATCTACGGTTAAGTTACGGGAGAAATTAAAACCAGGTGTGTTGGCGTCAAACGGCCCTACTCAATTCTTCCCCCTTAACTACGTTAATAATTTACATTGGCCATGCCAGAGAAGTTGATAATAGGTTAGTAAATGGCAACGCGCCATGACTTCCTTCACCTACCTAACAAGAGAGAGAGAAGTGAGAAAAACGGCTGCGAATACCGGAACTCTAACTTTTTCTACTTGTTGAGCTTTCATTTTTCGCAATCGACGAAATTGACTGCTTTGAAGAAAGCTCGTTTCAATGCAATAATTACGACTTTACGTAATTCGTAACTTTCCTTCCGTAACTTCAAATAATTACGTAATTCCGTAAATCCGTAAATTACGTGCAAGCCTACCTGCAATACGAACATATTTTACTGAATTTGTCAACCGCATGGCCTGTATATATGAATGCCAGTTTCAGTCACATTTCGATTTATATATGACTGATATGAAATACGCTGATTTGATTATCTTTATCCCTGGCGTAGTCATATGTAGAGGTTTGAGTCAAAGTAGCTAAATTCAGCGCTCCAGAAGTATGTGTAACTAATTTTATTTGCCTACTTTACATTAAGTTGTGTAAAGAGACTGAAACCTATGGGCAGGGGGTGTATTCACTTGGCTAGCACAGACAGTCCCCGAACTCAAAAAAGAACTAAAATAAGGAAAATCGGAATAAAATTATGGCCTAACCCCAACCTGGTACACATACGGGAGTACCGTAAATTCAATTCATATTTGATAAATTCTTACGTGTATATTCCACTCAATGTTTCTTTTGACTCTTCATTGCTGTGTATCGCCATTGCTATCAGCGCAATATAGGAATATGGAGGTCTTTTATCTGTTTCTAGTTTCCATCGACCGATATCTTTAACTGCAGCAGCGAAGTCTGAACTGGTTATACGCGAAGTTGTAGATTTCTTAGTCTTATCTATAACGAAATTTTAAAATGAGTTTTTCTAGATGTAAAAGTTTACTTACTAAAACTGAATATAATGCTCGTATACAACTTACATTCATATAAATATTAAGACTTATGAAGTTAACCTTGAATTGTTCGCATTTTGGGTTTCTCGTTCTATAAATTCTTTCAGCTATAAAAACTTTATTTGAATTTCATAGTTTACTAATACATTTTTTTTAGTTTTAATATCCAATTATTGCAATTCCGTCTGCTACATTGACTCAATAAATTGAAAACTTTTGCACTTGACGATTCGGTTTTATCTGATGAATTGGTACGAATGTCATTACACTTGCCTTCTATGTCATTTGAAGAATTCGCCATTTTGATCGGTGTTTCCGTCAGTTAGTCTCTTTTTATTTATTCCATACGTTTAATCCCAATAATTGCGATATATGCAGAATCTTTAAGAAAACATGTGTAATAAATACTATATTTCTCGTAGGGATTAAATCTCCACGATTCTGTAAATACCTAGAATAATGCAAGTCTGAAAGTACAGTATATCAAAATGAAAAGCTTTAAGACTATGATATTTGTTGATTAATCAATCACTTTATTGTAAATCAGATAGAATAACAGCTTGTACGAGTACAATAAAATATCCCACGAAACCTTCACTAATCTTTATTTGCGATAACCTGTGTGGGTTGTATAAATATATACAAAAATTTGCAGTTCAACAGAATTTACTCAAATTAGAATAGTCTTTCAATACAATATTCAAATTAGAATGTTTGGCTTAGCATGTGGCAGCTGGGTGACAATAAATTCAAAAACCTTGTTTTGATTAGTCTATTTTTCAGAAAAGTATGGTAATTCTTTGGTAATTTCATATAATATTTTGCATATTTTAAGTAGTAAGTAGTAGTTTTTAATATATATAATTTAATATTCATTCTCCAAGTCCGCATTTCTTTCTAGTTATGAACAGAGTTACATTATAAACGTTTGCATCAGTCTTTATTTGAAAGTATTGAATGATATTACAAGCTATGAACACTACGAACAAACCACTTCTTATTGTCACTATTATTGAAATGAACAATTTTTTTTATTTAGGCGTGGTTAAGTTATTGAGGTCGTGTAGAAATTTGAACATGGAATGATGTAGGAATACGGGCGCAACAAATCATTTCGAAGTATAAGTCGCTCTCCCCCCTCCTCCACCCAAAAGCCAGTTTTTAAATTACCAAATTGGGAATTATACGATTAGGGTTAGGAATGCAAATTGTAAATCCTAAATATGTAAATCCTATCCTGTAAATCCTAAAATTGCGCTTAAAGTTCAAATTATTCCTAACCCCAACTGTATAGTTACTTTAAAACGTGGCGGGGATGTTTTTCAAATATCACAATTTGCATTAGTGGCGACAGATCCATCTGTAGTAACCCCATTACTAAGTATTCAAACCATATAACTAAAGTATCACAACGACCTTTGTTTATACCCAAATCATCGACACCGACCTACACTGAGCTCGCAATACTGCTCTACAATGCTACAATTGCATCGAGACAGTCTAAGCATGTCTAAACGAACACTTATTATAATTTAATTACTGCCATTACCTGCCTTCATCTCGTCCGCAATTTCATATTATTATTAAATATTCCTCATTTGTTCTACCATGTTACGTAAATACCTCTAAATCATTAAGTACAAGATTTGGTTCATAGCTTACTAATTTGTCTTGTTTTTTTAACGGATTATGAAGAAACACGAAACTAATCTCTAATTAACGTGGTCCCATGTTTGAAATTAGTTAGTACATTCACAAATTGTCAATGTTTGGATTTGGAATTTATCTTTTACAATACTTAAATAGTTGGGTAGTCAACAATTTAGTAACAAAAGCATGGCGTGCTCTAAAATATCGAAATGATTATTCTATTTTTCCAAGAACTTTTGCTTTTTGTAATTTACTACCAGAAACCTGCTTCATTGGCCAAAAAAGAAAATTGGATTGTGATACTGTTCAATTTTTCAGTACTTTTATTTTTTTTTTGTAATATTAGCTGCTGGTCTATCACTGAATTAAAATTGAACATTCTACGTTTTTTCGACAGAAAAGCAAAACAAAATGGAGAAAATATATGACCCTTTACAACAGGCTTGTTGCGTGTAAGATAACAATCCAATACGACAGGCTAAATGGTTTTTCTCAGTCCGATATTATCTAAGTCTGAAAATTTACTTTTTAAATTGGCTGGACTTTTCATCTTATTGCTCTCGTATGGAGAAAATTGTCTTCTATTTATTTCTGTAATTTTTTTTTTAGTTTCGAGTTGTCTAGTCAGATATGGGCAGTACGTAACTTCATTTTTACCTATGTATCTAGCTTGGTTTATAGTTAGAATTTACAGACCAGAAAGTCTTAAAGTGTAAAATGTACGTATATCTCATCCAAGGCGTTTCTTGTATACAAGCATTTTATTCTACATCACGATAAGACCACCGCGAAGTTTAGGCTCGAAGGATAAAAAGACGAAAAACGAATTCTGGTCTTTCTCACGTGAGAAGCAATAAAGAGGGGTTTCAACCAAAATGGCGGGTTTTGGGTACATGTTTTGTAGTTTCAGTTGAAATGTAATCCGTTATTTCATTTTTGTCATACAGTAATTTGTCATAAGTATAATTTGAAATTGATAATTTGCACATCGATATCTTACACTTGGTTTTAAACAATAATTGAAGCATTTTTCTATTCGTAAATTTTTTAATTCAAATAGATCTTGCTTCTAAACAGATGTTTTGAATAAAAACTGTTAAATGGAATGTAATACTTCTAAAATTTGGTATTTTTTTTAAAAGCCGCGAAACTCTAATTTTACAAAATAAATTGTAGAACAATATCAGTTTCTAAACGTAATCAGTTTCTAAACGTAGCGATCTTTGGCAACAATGTTGAATTTATTGGGTGTAATCCAGAGGTTATCAGTTGCACAGGCCTAAATATATATATGAGTTGAAGCGCTTGGATTCGAATAGTAAGTATGAACATAAGTATATTAATCTCCAAACACGTTTTAAAACTCCACGGTTTATAGTTTGTCGTTACAACTATATCAACTCAAATATTTCCGGATTACAAAATAATGTTTTGTAAATATTCATTTCATACCGGACATTTTTATTTCAAATTAATCAGGATTTTCAGCTTAAAATATTGACCCACAACTTTGCTGACGGGGTTAGCAGTCATGTCGACATGATTAATGGCATATCTCAAGTGTTTAATACTTATGAACTAAAGAATTATGATGATTATAATTTATTACACTAATATTGTAACTTTAAAACAGTTTTGGTTGTAAATTCTAAAAAAATATATATTATATTAGAGTCAACTTGATTGAACACAGGGATGTAAAGAATTTTGAACTCAAAATGTCGAATTCAATCTAATCTATTAAATATAAATAATTATTATTGCGGATTCGTAATTATCTGGTAATTCTAAGGATTTAAATATTCTGTTAACAACTTTTGTAATAGTTTTTACAAAATTGAACCTCGGCCGGCCTAAGTTATAATTTCAATTAACTTTATATTTACTATTTCCTAAACATTATTTACTCGTAATACGTTTTTAACAGAATTTGCAAAATATCTCACTAACAGGTTTATAAATAAAACTCAAAAACCATTTTGGAAACTATTTTGAAAAACAAAATTAAATTTTTGTGAAATATATACCAAAACGCAAATAAAGACCATACAAAGATGCGCGGAATATCAGTAAGTTTATTTTAAAAAATTGAAAATAAACTTCTACTTTCTGCAACTAAGTACTTGAACTTGACCGAGACACAACCCTCACTTCTGAGACTTTAATTCAAAAGGGTGTGTTCAAAATTGAAGAAACCTCGTTTCAAGTTGATAATGTTTGCCTTTTTTTTGAAAGTTTGTCATATTTCTCGTTATCTTTAGAACACCCATTCTAAAGATTTAAATAACAACTAACCAGGCAATTCCTGTAGCTGTCATAATCCTGTTTGCATATTTGTCCGAATAATGTTGACACTATAACCATAATCCCATGACATGATGACATTGTTTCACGCCACTTCGCCTTGGAAATGCGATAAGCAAAAAAAAATTCCAACCACATTTTACCTTCGACAAACCTAATGCTATCGCTGTTAATACTGGTTAAGATTTATTGGCAACTACGAAAATGTAAATATCAGCTGGAGTTATGCGAGACTAACTCCATGTCCGTGCTCTATGTCTTTGCGCAAGTGGATCTGTATGCGTATGATGCAAGGATGTTTAGCAGGAATAAAAATGACCATTCTGTTTTATTCAAGCTTCTTGCTGCACACTCATGCGAATTTATGACCGATTGATCTTGTCCATACGCTGTGGTTAACGCCAATAATTAAGTTTCTATACATTTTACACTTCAACTGAATGTTTTTTTATCAGTGATTTAGCAGCTTAAAATTTATGGTTAATTGTCTATTACTGTATATTATGACCTCCCACGGTGATTTAAATCCTATTACCTCCCAGTAAGTAAAAATTAGCGAGACGAACTAAAAACAAACAGTTTTTAGAGTTACATTTCATGAATACAAACATAAGGCACGATTTGCCACAAGCTTGTGATCACTAATAATATTGTGACATGAACCATAAACATATCAAATTAATCGTAGCTTCTGTGAGGTCTTATGCATTCGTGATCGACAGAATTCACTAAGTTCATAAGTAACTTTCCATGAAATAGCTATCAGCAAACATGCTTTATGTGTTATGTATTTTTTTTTTTTTAATTTCCTTGCTTTAGGGACTAAATCGCATATCCAAATGGCCCATTACTATTTGCCACAAAGATATCCAAATGACTATACCAGTCTGCTAAACCAGGGGTGTGCAAACTTTATTACAGTAGGGCCAGATTCAAGTAATTTGGGTGAAGCCGCGGGCCGCACATTTGTTCAAGATATGATTTATAGTAGTTTCATGTTTTTGCTAGCTAGTTTTGATAATATAACAGTGGCACCGGCGTACTGGTATAAGCTTTGCGATGCAAAGTAATTGGAATTGCTCGCACGTACCAGAATAACTAAACTTAAAACTCTTTTCGCGGGCACACCATTCAAAATTGGCACTTGTGCGCGGGCCGCAGAATATTTTCTTGCGGGACACAGTTGGCCCGCGGGCCGTAGTTTGTACATCCCTGTGCTAAATAATTAAATTAAATAAAGTGGCGAGCTATTCTTGAAAAAATGAGAATTCAATAAAATACAGAAACATTTAGAGAAATGTTTACATTAAAATATTTTAAAATGAAAAAACGTTTTTTTTTTACAAAATTTGGAATCGTTAGTGTTTTAACTTACAAAACAAACCTAATTTTCTGTATCAAGAAAATATTATTTTTATCATATTTTTCAAAAATTATTTAGTTGATTGGATATACAACTTGTCTTCCTTCCATATTATTATTAAAAATTTGTTGTTATGTCCATTGGCCAATTTCATATTTACATCTCACTTGTT